CTACAATTTGCATCATCAGAATTCAAAAATTTCTTAAAAAAATGGAACATTAATGGCTGTCCATCCACTCCAGTCCATATTATCCGAAAAGTAATGGTCATGCAGAGGCAGCTGTTAAAGGCATGAAAACATTATTGAAAAAAAGTTTAGAGTGGAGTTGGTTCCAGCACATTCTAAATTATTTACTCCAGAGTGCGAAAGAATGAAAAATGAATACGATTCGAAAATTTTAAAATTTATGAATTATAATAAAAGTTGTTATGATAGAAATGCAAAAGATTTATCTGAGATCCATGTTGGAAGTAAGGTTAGAATACAAGACCCTATTTCCAACAGATGGAATGAATAATAATAGAAAGAGAAGAAATAGATGTTATACATCAAAAACACCGAGCGGAAGAATACTCAAAAAAAATTGGATTTTCTTACGACCTTTTTTAGAAGCCTCGAGGGGAGATATTGTGATATCTACCTGAATACTGTTGTGATTACAATATTGAGGTAACCTCTTTTATATCTGGTCTGTTTCTGCAGAAATCCCAAACCAGTCAGAGCGAATTTCATTGGTTGAAAACAGACAAAAACAGTCAGAAACCTAGTTTCAACCAATGAAATTCACTCTGACTGGCTTGTGATTTCTGCAGAAACATACCTAATATATCCTTGAAATAGTAGTTGAGGCTGGATATATCAATTAAAAAGAAGATGTGTCTTTGACTGTCAATAAATAGTAGGTAGTTGTCAACTGATCTCTGTTTATGTGTACTCCGAGCATAAAATTATAAATTAAAACAATAGTTCTTTGTGTAAAGTAATGTGTATTTCATTTGTCTCCTAATTAGTCCTCAGCCTCAGCCACTGCAGCCAGTCAGCATTTCCAAATTTCCAACAAATACCAGTACCTACCTATAGATTAATGATGTGTATGTTATGGCGTTTCCGATTGGTAGGTTTAGTGCGCACGCCACTGAGTGTATTTGCATCCTTTTAATCGACCTGTAGAAGAAAAAGACAGAAAAAGAAAAAATTGCACTAGTATCGCACTAGATCTACCAATCGGAAACGCCATTAGATTGAAGTGAGTTGTCGAATGATAAAATATATTAGTTATAACTCTGATTATTACACCTATACGACTGCGTCTGAAAATGGAGTTTTTCACACGCTAGGCAAGCTCTGAAAATAGAGTTTCTCGCACAGCATGCGAAAAAGTTTTTCACACGCTGCTTATCAGTTTTCTATTAATTTATTTTGGCCCTATCATCCTGACATGACATGACATAAATTGCGATTGTCATCAATTTCTGATGTTGATGATTTGTTTTCTAACAAATAAAAATTACATATTTGGTTGTTCTTTTTGCAGTTGTAGGAAAAGGCGGAACAGCATTGTAAAAAACTCGTTTGAAATAGTATATTTGCTAACTAGTGCGGAAAAGAGTCAAAAGAGACTTTCCGCATGAGTTAGGAACACTATTTTTTCTACGAGATGGAAGTTATTATTTGTTCCTATACTTAGTGCGATATTGGACGATATCTCCTTACAGGGTGGTGCAAGAAAAAAAATTTAAATCACAAAGTTGTTTGATACTCTAATATGCATTAGTTGAAAATATTTTTGAATATACAGGGTGCTTCGTTTATGGGGTATGCGACAGAACTTTGTTATTTTGCATAGAACACCCTGTATGTGATTGCATATTTGGATTCTAAGTAAAATTCTGAGTAGATTTCATGTAATATAGGTCAACTGGCGATTTACTTACATACGCCACTCACTTATGGCAAAAAGCGATTGAGTTGCGGGGTGAAACAAGAACAATTGCCTTAGATATATCTAAAGCATTCGACAAAGTTTGGCATGAAAATCTGCTCAACAAGCTCAAAGCAATGGGATTATCGCCGAAACTTTGCACTTGGTTTGAAAGTTACCTAAAGGACAGATCCATTTATGTTGCACTGGATGGCCAGAACTCCAACTCTTACCAAATAAATGCTGGTGTGCCACAGGGAGCAATCCTTTCGCCAACTCTTTTCCTGATTTACATAAATGACCTCATAGATAAAACAGTAAATCCACTTTATTGCTTTGCAGACGTTGGCAATGTAGTCTCCTCACTCATACCACCCACAGGTCTTTCCGCACGTGAATTCCATCATCTTAGACTAACTCAAATATCGCAGATAAATAACGACCTGGAGATAATAGAGGACTGGGGTACTTAACAAAAACCTTGTACAGTTCAACGCGCAGAAAATCCAAGCAGCTCTGTTTTCAAAAAAGACCAGCACCGGTGAGCCAAACATCATGCTATCTGGAAGTGCTGTCACATTACAGAGTCAGTTGAACATCTTGGGGGTTACTGCAGAGACCAACATGTCTTGGCACAGTCACGTGGCAGATATTGCTAAAAGGGCCTCCCAAAAGCTGGGGGTGCTATTTCGTACAAGACATCTGTACACACCAAGCCAATTGCTGACACTCTACAAAGCCCAGATTCGACCAACTATGGAGTACTGCTCACATATATGGAGTGCAGCACCCAAACATACCTTAATGCTTTTGAATACCGTGCAAAAACGAGCTATCAAGCTGATCAATGACCCCGCACTTACTCGTAACTTGGATGGTCTCGAACATCGCAGATCTGTGGGCGATTTATCTCTCTTTTACAGGTACTATCACGGAAAATGCTCTGAAGAGTTGGCACGTATGATTCCACCGAGAGTAGCACCTACCAGGCGAACCCGTCAAACAGACGGTAACCATGAATTTACTGTCAAACTAGAGGCACCAAGAACCTCATTATATCAGAATTCATATCTCTGGAGAACAGCATCGCTGTGGAATAAACTCCCTGCGACGGTTTTCCCTGCAGGTTACAACCTGAACCGTTTCAAGACCAACATACACCGACATTTCCGCGCACTTGCCGCTTCTCGAGCGTGATAGGACATTTCCTTGCGAGTGCGCATATCCGTAAAAAAAAAAAAAAAATATACCCTATACCTAAGTTCAACTGTTTTGGAAATATTGACAGTTGAAAATTGACTTTTTGCAACTTTGACAGGCTGTGAAACCTAAACGGTTAATTTTAGACGGAAACCGATTTTACATTTCTATCTTAGATTTTCATAAACTATCATTTGACACCAACTTTGAATTTAACCGGAGATTAAATTTAACTGGAATTTTTAATCATGGATCCCCAAAAAACCCTTAGTCATATTCTCAAAATCTCAAAAGATGATTTTAGCAAAATCAGCTCTTGAGATTTTGAAAATTTGTATGAATTTAGGGGTTTTTGGAGATGCTGAATTTTAATCTGATACAAAAAATTATCTAAAATTAACCCTAATATTTTTTTCCCAAAAAAACAAACCCTTATACCCCCCAATACAGCAAGCCAATGGTGAATAAAAATGTGAACTATGTCAAATAGGTCATTTTTCTAACGTACAATCACCACCAAAATGTGAATAAAATCCCTTTATTAATAACTGAGATATCGGGGTGTATTCATGAAAAGCGGGACACACTGTATATTAATAACTCATTATGGCTCTGCTTTTGCTGATTTCAATGTTACTTTCGATAGGTTTATCTCTAAGGCGGGTGACACACTGGAGAAATAAGTTTCATGAAACTTGTTGAAAGAAATAGGAAATTTATTTTATAAAAATCCACTTATCGTCCTTATCGAATCGTACATCAAATCTCGTATCAGTCATATCTAAACTAACTATACAACTTTCCTATTAAAACTGACCGCACCAAAGCTCTCATAAGACTGACTGTAATTTTTATATTAATAGACATCGAACTCCGGATCTGTCTAGAAAACCTAGGTGCTCGACTGGAACTCAATAGAATTCTTCGGATAGTCTTGCGAAACGCAAACAAGCGGATTCCTAGAATCCGGCCGGCTCTCGTAGCAATTTTGTAGAAATACTTAGAAGTTTCGGCTTTTACAAAACACCAGTAGCCACCAAGCAGATATACAGGACATACATTCATCATAAACTAGCGTTGGCACATGCGATGTGGATTCATTACATGAAAAGACAAATGTTGGATCGTGTCTAGAGAAGGAAAACTTAAATACTCAATAGCTGAGATATTTATTACCTTTATACTGGGACTCAAAGCTTAAGAATGCGGGAGACTGAGGGGCCCCGGTCCTTGATACTTTCTTCCCCAATTCACTCCAAATCTGGTTCAGCAACTTAAGTACCTAAATTATAGTTTCGGTGATACACCAGTCATAATACCTAATAGGATTAACAATTAACTGTTCTAGTTTTTCAAGTATATCCAATTTGGTGGTTTGAATAATTCCGGACTCAGCACTACCTTACAGACATTGACGAATTTACCAATAATAACGTAATAATGTCTTTCTTCTAATTCCTAAAACTCAACCCACTGTAATGAAGTAATAAATATCAATTTTCAATCCAACCCCAACAAATTGTTTTGTTTGTACATGATAAGTAGGTACCTACATATTATATTTCATAGTACCTATAATAGAAGAAGGCCGAAGAATACTCGATGACATTATAAAATTGAAAGTCTATTTGTCAAAGTTAATTTTAAATGCGAAGCACCACAGAATTGTTTTCATGAGCGCACTGACATGCTCATCACTGTTAATTAATACTCAAATTTGCGGTTGAATAAGAAAACCAGAACTGAAAATATCGGAAATCTTTATGATATTTCAAACAACCTTAACGTAGTTAACCCTGTGAATAATTAATGCAAAGTATGTTACTATAAATACTATAAAAGACCTCATAACTGTATTTTCAGAATACATTTCCCACTTAATAAACGTACTCAAGTAAATGCTATACACTGGCTATTGTCCAACCCTTGAATGGGTTTTACGCACTGGATACGCCACTGCAATTTTGTCGCCCTGGTCTTGGTCGCATTTTACAAGAATTTATTGGGGTGTGGCAAATATAAAACACTCTGTATCTGACTTGACTGATCCCATTTTGCGTGTTCTTTGTGCGATGTCATTTTTCTGAAAGTGAAAGTACCTTTATACACATTTTCGGCTTTATTTTGGATTTAATTTTTTTAGTCGGTACTTAGACAAATCGAAGACAAAATGGGTCGGTGGAGTGCTACCGGGTGTTTACTAGTGGTAAGATTTTTTTTTTTTTTTCGAGTGGAAAAGTGTACTTTTTGTTTAACGAGAAATGCAAAAATAATGTTAGGAAAAGATATGCTTGGGTTAGGCACCATTTTTTTTTTAAATCTTAGTACATTTATTTCATTAATCATTTCACAAATCAAACTTTATCATCTGATACTTTCTTCGAAAGAACTTTCTGGACTCAAATTTGAAGCTAGAGTATACAGTAGGTACATTATTTAAAACTAAAAGGATAAGAATTTCATTATATTTCCCAGCAAAATGGTAGTATCGAAGTCGCAGGCCAAAAAGGGCCCTGATCACTGTAATGCGCGTATTACATCTGTGTATTTTTCCGTGTATTTATTCATGTAGTTCAGGGTGCCAACATTATTTTGTTTTTTTCATAATGCGGATTTATATTGCGTTTGAAGTTTTTCGGTTGTCACCCTGAACTACATGAATAAATACACAGAAAAATACACAAATGCATAAGACTTTACTAAAAACCTAATCAGTACCTATATGGGTTGACTTGTTTTTCCAAAATTTGTTACAATGATAAGATTTCTTTCGTCAGAAGGTTTTTCCTACTAATATCTATTGCGTCTTCCTTTTTCCTGTTTCTTTTAGTTTTGCTGCTGCTTCAAATAATATTTGTATGTCTTCCTTTCTGTCTTATATGTTTCAACAAGGCAATTTTTCCTTTATTTGCAGCCTCGTTCAGTTTCTTCACATTTTCCTTGCTCTTTCCACTCACTGTTTCTGTTACGTTTTTCCAAGTTTGTTTACTTTTTCTCTTTCCTCTTAACCTTTCCTTAGCCTAGATTCCAATATTTGGAAAATACTTTTTAATTTCAGTTTCATCTTCAACAGTAGTAGGTATCATATATGTTGAAACTATGTACCATTTTCCCACCGTTTTATTTTTTTTATTTTGATATCATTTTTAAGAAGTAAAGAATTTAGTGATTTGGGTTAGTTTGCTCTGACAATATCTCAATAGCTGAAAGGAAGGGATATTTTAAAAGTTCATTAATAATCGTTGCAAATAACTTCATCTGACTTCATAACTTAATAAATACGACGAAGATTGGGTCGTTGTTGAAACGATTCTGTCGAAAACCTTGTGTTTTTCGCGGGTTTCGCATGTGAACCATGCAAATTGATGCTAAGCATTATCCCCCAATATAGTTTGGGATTATTTTTGGATGTCGAGATAGGCTGCTTTTTAATTTTTTTGGTATTTTCTGTGTATGGAAAGAGTTTATATTTCCTTTATAAGTTAACTCCACTCTCTTCCAACACCTACTTTTTCTTCTTCTTCTCCGATCAGCTGCGGTTCCCTTTTCTCGTTTTCCTAACATAAGTTTCTCGAAATATAATTTGCTCCAGCCTTTGGCTTGGCATTGATTTTATTGATCAGTGTATTTATAGTATATTCTTGATTTCTTTCGGGAGATGTTTTATAAAATTCCCCACAGGCACCTTTTTCGGATTTTCCGTGGATATCTCTTTACATGCTTTTGTGAATCTTTGCTAGTAAGTGCCTATGCTTTTTTTATCTCTCTTATTCTATCAGGTTCCATTTTAAATAGTCCTAATTTTCTTCGTTTTTGTATCATCAATATCTGCGCTTTTTCTCTGTATTCCCCTAATTTCTTTGTTTTTGGCATACATTAAGTTTGATGTGTTTTGTTTCCTCACTGTTACTGAAAATTATTACCATTATTACCGCACTAGTGGCAGATACTGTATGACTGTATGTTCATTCATGATCTTAATAATTACTATGACATAGTATCTGAATTCAGGAGACCACCACATCACATTCGGGCAACAAGAATAAGGAACTTTGTATATGGTTCAATCAGTGTGGACATACCAACATATCAATACTAAACCAATTTAAATCTTTGGTAATTCAAGTTTTTTCCTCATTGCGCAAATATCATTTTTAAGCAATATTTCGAAGCTATGAAATATTTTTTGGCTTCTGACCATTCAATATTTGAAAAGACCAGTAGGTATAATTACATTTCAAAACTTACTCTAATTATTGTCATTGGCAATTAACGCGTTTACCCTGTATAAGGCATAGTTGCATATTTTATAAACATTTTCAATTATTATTATAGGTGTGACTGGCTATAATGTGACCAAGGTAATGACGCTTGTTAGATAACTGTGCTCCACCTAAAAAAATAATTTTGCAATTTTTAACAAATTAACTTGCCGAAGTCCTTGTTTGTTTAATATGTTATAAATTTCTCCATGGAATTTGATAAATATTATTGATCATACTCAGTTTAAAATTTGCACACCATTAAAGTTGCTTAACTAGTTAAGTAGAAGGTAGGTATAAGGATCCCTGTACTTAAATAATTCGAAGAAGTTAATTTTTGGGAAAGCTGCATTCGCATTTATGTAACGCCTGAAAATATGCTTACATAAGCTTATTTTCATACTGGGCGAGACAGATCGCCATTGTACCTTTAAACAGGTTTATTATTGGGTAAATTAAATCAAATATTCCGGTCAGCGGTTATTAAAAGTAGAGTAGACGCTTTTATGTCTTATAAGTTATAATGTTTTAATAAATAAACTCTCGTTTTCTATACCCAGATATAATATAGTAGGTGTTTGCTTGGCAAATAGTTAATTATCATACTGTTGTTTTTTGCAGTTGTAAACTAAATGACAACTTTCGGTTCGGTCCTACAAGTGCGAACCGCAAGTTTCTACCTCGTTTAATTTCTAATGCGACATCCTTGAAGTTTTTGTTACATTTCAATTATAAAACTTTATCAGAAATATAGGAGCAAAATAAATATACTTACTTACTGATTATTCTGACCGCACAAAAGAAAACCATTCAACACCGTGACAAAAATTGATGAAGTTTCGATAATCGCGAACAATTGGAAAGTCTCGTTTTGCTTGGTAAATTAACAAACAAAAAATGAACAAAATGTGTTATAGCTAAACTCTAATAGATACTTACAATAATTTTACTTTAGATATCTCTCGGCAAAATCTTACTGAATACAAAATTATTATTCCTCCTTTGATTTGTTGATTGATAGGTAATACTTACTGGATGACATTTCGCCATTATCATTCTTAGGTCCAATGGGACACAAAGCTTCAATCTAATAGTGGTTTGATGCAATCCCCCGAGACTTCTATTTGGCAACTTCGGAATGGCACATCGGGTTATCAAAGCTACAAATAGTATTGTGGTGTCCTTTAAATATATATAGTTTCTCAATCAAATTCGTCTCCTTTTTTGTGAGTGGTCTGCCTACTGGAATGTTTTCTTTGCAAGTATAGCCATGCTTTTAACATTTCACTAAGTAGGTACCTATACTAATAATTTAATGATAGTGTACTACTGTTGGGGATCGGGAGTTGACCGATGCCACGAATGTTGAGTAGGTACCTGGAGTTTTCCGCTCGCTCCAATCTCGTACTTCGATAATTAAAACTTGGATTTTTGCTTTGGAATCTATAGGGAACACTTGGAGACTTGAAGAAAGTGTTAATAAACGACTGAAGTATAATACTTAGTCAAATAATCCGAAAAAAGTGACGTAGAAAACGAGACTGTAAGTTCTTAATAGTAATTTCCACTTTTTGGACGACTGGTATCAATAAACATTTTTTTTTGTTTTGTTTCTGACACAATAGTAGGTATTTAGTTGAGTATATATTCAACATTAGATAGGTATAGCTCTTTCAATTTTCAAATTTCAAATACTTCGTCACAAATTGTATTCAAATGATTTAAGTAAATTATGGCTGATCCTGAAAGTCTTGTTAAACTGAGGAAAATTGCTAAATCACGCATCACAAGGGTAGAAACTTGGTTCACTAAATAACAATCTTTCAAATTAGAAGAATGTGTAGTGCGAAAAGAACAGTTAGACAATTCCTTTAAAGAATATTATGTGACATTTAAAATAAATTAGAGTTTATAGATGAAACTAAATATTCTAGTGATAGGAAATTGATAGAGGACAAGTACTATAACCTTGCTGCGAATTTTTTGAACCATATAAATCATAAAACCGCTATTAACCAACAAGTTGCACCCGCTTCTCCCACCAATGCTCCAGAACCAATAATAAACAACACAGCTGTAAAGCTACCAGAAATCACCATTGCTCCTTTTGACGGCAATGTAAACTAATGGTTGAGCTTTCATGAACTCTTCAATACTCTCATAACTGACAATATCACACTATCTAATGTTCAAAAATTTATATATCTGAAATCCTATCTTCAAAGGTGGACCCCTTAAGTAATCTTCGTCAAAATTCTCAAAGTCCTCCTATTAACGAAAATAACCATCCACATCTCTTTCTGTATATTCATCCAGTACTGAAGTCTTGCTCGCTAATACCTTTCAGGTATTTCGAGAAGTGGCTCTTTTACAAATAAAATGGTTGACGTTTAATTTTTCTCTCTAATTAATTCAAGCAAAGGGTTTAAAATTTCCAGCGCTATTCTGAATAATATAACTTCCCATCATCCTCAATTTTCTTTCAACATACACTCATTAAAACTACCTGAAGGAATTAAATTAGCAGACCCCACTTTTCACAAATCTGCTCAAATAGACATGCTGTTAGGAGCAGATATTTATTTCGAACTGTTGATAAATGGACTGGTCAAACTCGGTCATAATGTCATAATCTACCTACACTCCAAAATACTCATCTCGGATATATTGTATCAGGAAGATTGCCTCATTCATCTCCTCAACGAAAAAGTCTACATGTTCACTCTCATTTCTGCTTGTCCGAAGCATCTCACTCAAATAATCAACCAAGCTCTTTCTCTTCGAACTCGAACTGTGATGACACAGATATTTTGATCAAGAAATTCTGGGAATGCGAAGACTGTCCTTCGAACTCCTCTAATTTACTCACTCGTTCAGAACAAAAGGCTGAAGAAATATTCACAAAAACTACTCAACGCTTGCCCTGAGGCAGATTTAAAGTTAA